CATTGCATGCTCTCCCACGGCCGTCGAGCAGGATGCGGACAGAGTACCCTCAGGCTTGCTCGCAGTGCTTCCTCGCTCATTGAGCAACATGTTTGCTCCTGCGATCGCCACATCTCTGCGGTGCTTACTACTGCTATGTCAGAGATGATGCGTTGCTGTTCGCGGGAAAGAAGGGCGTGTTCCTCGACGTCTGGATCTGAGCAAATCGTAACGTGCAGTCGCCTTGGGAGAGGCCAAACATCAAACTGCCACACAACTATGCGGTCGCCACTTGGCTTAGAGACCTCGACCAGCTGGCTCTGCAGATGACTGTAACAGAGTAGAGCACCGTCGACGACAAGGCTCATCCAGCTGTATCTGCCTGCTTGCATCGCATTGAGGTCGGCGCTTTCGCACGACGACCGCCGTGAGCAACGACGACGTGGCGATAGCGACGCTGCGAGTCATTGCCGTTGCACGACGCATCCCATATCCCACAAAGCTATCCCACAGCGTGCGACGATACAGCGACAAAAACAGCCAAGAGCCACCGGTCATGCATGACGTGGCGGGATCGAGCGTTTGGCTTTGCCCAACCCCCGGCCAGTCGGCCCCTATCCGGAGGCGCTATCCGGATACACCAAATAGACAGGCATCGCTGTGTGTTTCTGTATTATTAAAATAAATGAATCTGCTAATTTCATTCTACTATACTATTGGCCATTGACAAAAATGAATTAAATAACATTTTAATTTGCCTCCAAGATTGACCCAAGATGCTGCGTCGCGACGTCGGTATTTCACGTTTGCCCATGCTGACGTGTTCGAAGCTCATCCTCGGGGTCCTTGCGGCGGCCGACGCGGCCACCATGCTCGCTGGCTTCCAGCCATCGCCCGAGCTTGCGCCGCAGGGTCAGAGGGCGCTCAGCGATGCGCCGTTCGAGCTCTCTATCGGCATCAAGGCTGCCGACCCCTTGGCGCTGGAAGCGCATTTCTGGGCCATCTCGGATCCGAGGTAAAGTTGTCAACTGCACCGTCAACAGAAATGCCTCACGCTGTGTGGTAGCCATCCAAAGTATAGCCGATTCTTGGCCCAGCATGAGGTCGACGCTCTCACAGCGCCTCGTCCTGATGCGCTTGACACGGTCCAGCGTTGGCTTTCTGCGCATGCAGTCGACAACGTGACGTTTTCTGCCACGACCAACCGCTTTACGGTATGTGTTGGGTGCGTTTCGGAGCAAGGTGTGCATGGACGTTGGATCCTAGGCGCGAACGACGGTGCGGACGCTCGAAACCATGATGCAGACAACAATTCACGCATTCAACGTCGATGACGGTCACCGATTGTTGCGCGCAACGACGTCACTGACGCTGCCTGACGACGTGGCGCCACACGTGGCATACTTGAACGTCAACACAGCCCCGATGCGCCGGTCGCTTCGTGCAGCGGCTGTGTCACCGACTGACGCTGTCCGCAATGGCGCTGGCGTCACGCCAAGCTTCCTTCGCGAGCTGTACAAGATCCCGGTTCAAACACACCCGAACGAGACAAATGCGCAGATGATTCCAGAGTTCTACAATGAAGCATGGAGCCAAGACGACGTTGCGACGTTCTTCCATCAGTTTATGCCCAACGAATCCTTGCCTACTTTGCACTCAAACAACGTAAGTCTGCACTGTCGTCTGCTGTGCTTTACTAACTGTTGACGAAGGTGGCAGGCCGGGACAACGCCCCCGATCACGCCAGCGCCGAGGCGTCTCTCGATTTACAGTACATCACGGCGATCGCACCCAAGACACCGACTTTCATTTGGTCTCAGGCCGGCGCCAACCCCTACTCGGCGGCCGACGAGCCCTTTGTCGAATGGGCCACGGCAATGCTCTCGATGGACAAGCCGCCGTACGTCGTATCGCTTTCGTACTCGGACGATGAAGCGCACATCTTCGAGTCATCCGAAAGCTACGCACGAAGCTTCGATACGTTGCTCATGAAGCTTGGTGCGCGTGGCGTCTCGGTGGTCATGTCCAGCGGCGACGATGGCGTTGCTGTAGGCCCTTCTATGAAACATCCTGTCGCGCTCACAACATGTATGTAGGGTCAACGCCCAGCGCTTCTCAAGACGCATACCTCGAATGCTGCAGCATGGTGCAAGCGCGCCAATCCACAGTGGCCAACGAGCTCGCCGTACTTAACGTCCGTGGGTGCGACGATGCTGAGCAAGAGAGGGCTAACACCTGACTTTTTCGCCACGGACGAAGAAGTTGTCTGCTCGTCCGAGCTCGGGGCGCTCATCACGTCTGGTGGTGGCTTCTCAAACCAGTACCCGCGTCCATCGTACCAAGCTGATGTTGTTGCAGCCTATCTCAACTCGTCCGCAATCCCGTCGCTGGTACGCTCGCATGCGTCTCAAAACCATGACCCTCACAGAAAATAGGCATACTTTAACGCGTTTGGCCGCGCGTACCCGGACGTGGCTGCGTTTGGCTCCAATTTCAAGGTTGTGATTCGCGGGTCGACCAGCTTGATTTCTGGCACGTCGGCGTCGGCGCCTGTGTTTGCCGGCACCCTCACGCTAATCAACGACCTGCGCCTGAACGCGGGAAAGCCACCGCTTGGTTTTGTCAACCCGCTCTTGTACAAGGCTTACGCGCAAGACCCACGATCGTTCAATGACATTGTCGTTGGGTCCATTGCGGCTGGCATGGGGTCGGCCAAGCCCGTGTGCTCGCAGACGTTCCGCGCAACGAGCGGCTGGGACGCAGCATCCGGTCTTGGTTCCCCTAACTTTGAGGTGCTCAGGGATTTGCTCGTACACCCAGAGGCGTGGCTTGCGACAGCGTTTGACGGACCGCCGAAGGCGAAAAACAGCAGCCAAGGAACGAGCGAAGTCAATCGCAACAACGTGCCCGTCGTGCTCACAGAGCGGCTCTCGAACCTCGCGATTGTCGTTTGCGTCGCGACGCTTGCCGCCGTACTCGTCCTCATTGGATGCACCTGCTGTTACGTCCGCCGCTCGCTAAAGCACAAGTCGTATCAAGAAATCGACATCAACAAGCCCGACACGCCCATGTACCCTTCAAAAGCCAAACAGGACGCCGCCGCCATCTTCACGATTGACGACGACGACGACGACGAGAAGGACATCGAGCTAACGGAGGTGCCACTGGGCAAGTAAAAGAGCGTATCGTTCGTTATCGTTGAATAGACTGTCGTGGATCTCAAAAAAGTGTTCTCACAGCGATTGGTTGCTTTCAATTTTAGCTACTTAGGGGCGAAGGGACTTCAGTTCGTCGAGCATCTCATCCAGCTAACGAGTTCCATGGGCACAGGTCAATCGAGGCACACGTACTTGAAGTTGAAAGCGCGTGATATCTGCATTTTTGAGCGTGAGAACATGCTCATAGTGCGCCCGCAACGCAGCCTGCTCTAGGTGGCTCGACGCCGTTGCTTGCTGGAGGAGTGCCTGCAGCTCCGTTTCGCGCACCGCGTACTTTTGCATGAGTGCGTGTACTTGAAGCTCCAGCGCCTTGTATTGCAGCATTGATGGCGTGTTGGGGACCTCAAGTTGGCGTGTGAGGTCGCAAACTTGCGTCTCGAGGTACGGTATACGGCCGGCCGTCGCTTGTGCCTTGTGCAGGTCCTAACGTCATCACGTCATGAGATTCGATCGGTTTTCTGTGGAACCACGTTGTGGGCCACTGCAAGCATTTGTGTCACGCGCAGAATTTCTTCGTGCAGCAAGTCTTTGGCTTCGCGGAGCTCGGTGGCGTGGCGAGTACGCACGCTCTCCATCTCACGCTCCAAGTCGTGGACTTGCGTGACGAGCGCATCGTACGACGCTTGCGACACGCTCGGCGAGACGACAACGGACGACGACTGGATGAGCAGCCTGCGAGCTTCGTCACTCGCGCTCAGTTGCTGCTGGACGCTGGCGAGCTCAGTCGTAAGGTCGGTGACCTGCTTTTTGAGTCGCGCCTACTCGAAACGCCCGTCAACAAAGTAGTACACAACCAATACTTCAGCACCACGAAAGACGGGCTATCGTCACTGATTGGCGGCGGCTTCCGACCTCGTGCATCCTGCAGCTTCTTTTCAAGCTCCTGTGCCAGCCATGAGACTCTTGGGTGAAGGATGAGTGCACCTTTATCTTGGCCGTCAGCGTCGTGCGGTCCGACGACGCTGCGAGTTTCGCGTCGAGCTGGGCTCGAAGTTGCGCGACGATACGCTCGTGCTGTTGGCGAAACGCTGTGAGTTTTAGTTCGTGCGAGTGCTCAGCCGTTCTTAGCTGCTCCTGGAGTGCATGAACCTGGAGCTCATGCATGCGTTTGCATTCGGCAAGCTGGTCATCAGCGGTGGGCTTGCTCGCAAGGATGAGGTTGACGAGGCTGTCGGGGTGTCGTTTTTGCATGGCGCGTTCCATTTCGGCAATCTGTCCCTCGAGCGCCTACGCATGTGGTCGACAACGTCATCATAACGCTCAGATTTATACCTGAATACGTCGGCGATCTGCGGCCCGACTTGGTTTTGCTGATGTTTCCGACCGAGGCTGACGCCGGAGGTCGTCGATCGTTGCCCGTTGTTGCCGCAGCAGCTCGTCTTGCTCGTCTAGGTATCGCTGATTCTGAATGTACCTATGTCGACACTGGTAGAACCTCAAAATATAATCACACGTAGTTAGAAACCAGTCGAGCTTGGACTGTAGTGCCGCGATTTTGGCTTCAGCGTCATGCTGCTGGGCTACGCTAGCCGCGCGAAGTTGATCATAGGCGTCGTTCTCCCGCTGCAGAACGTCCATGTGAACCCCTGCGATCTGACACTCGAGGTCCTTCTTGGCTTTCTTGACCATGTCGAGCTGCACACGACGATACATGAGGTGCAAGACACACACACAAAGTCAGTCGCACCTCAACCTTGAGCTCCCGCTCGTGAGTTGCGTGGAGGTCGACGGCATCGCGTAGCTCCTCCTGAAGCGCGAGGATCCGCACGTCGGCGGCAAGCGTGACGTCCAGGGGCGGTCTCGCTTGGATTTGCTGCTGCTTCTGTAGCTGGTGCCGGAGGTCTTTGATGGTCGCCAAATGTGCTTCGTTTTGTGCATGCACGTCGTACTAGACGGATGATTGCACCTCGCAAAATATCGAGGAAAGTCATACGTGTAAGTCCCGCCGCATGTCTTTTAGTTGCTGCATCAGCCGCTCGTTCTCAAGCTGGTAGCCTTGGATCAAGCCTTCTTGCGTCTACCATAGAGGTGGTCGCGTAACCAAAACACGCGTGTTCGTACCTCCATCTCCTTGCGCATTGTGTCGTAGGCAGCGGACGTCATCGCGACACCGTGGCGGGTCTGGCTGTGCACGTACTTGCCAAGAAGTCGTGCATCCGACAGCGTGTGTACGTCTTGGGATACCGAGAGCGCGTCCCGCTCGTGTTGCAGTGAAAGAATCTCGCGTTGGGCGGCTTGAAGCTCTAGCTTCATCTCATTCTCCTTGTTGGCAAACGCGCGAATGAGAATCTTGTCCCGCTCAAAAGCATTGGTGACTTGGTCGTCGTGAGAGACGCGCGCGGCGTCAAGGGTCGCTTGCAGCTGTCTGAAGCGGTCTGCGGCTGGCAGTTGGGCCGCCGTGGATGTGGCGTGAAAGGTTGCAGTGTGAGTGGCGACGGGGCTGGCCACGGGTCCAACTGTTGGCACAACCGCGGGCGGGATGGAGAGTACGGTATCACTGATCACAGCGTCGACGTCCAACGTTGCCTCGAATTTGCTGGGACCGTCAACGAGCTCGACAACGACTTCTTCGGCAATTGGTGGCGTCAGTTCGGCCTCGACAGTGACAGCGCGCAAGTTGTATGCGGGTGCCTCGGATGTTTCTTGCAAAAATGACAAGTATGACGGCACGTCCGCAACAACAGGGTTGACGGCTTCTGATGCTCGTCTAATTCGACACGTGCGTCATTAAAGATCAGGAAGCCTTTAAGGTCGGTACACTGGGTCTGTCGAGTCAGCAAGAGGAAGGTCGGGAGGTGGTGGGGGGCCAGGCGACTACGCATTTAGACTAAAGCACGCAATAATAAGTCATCAACATACCATAGGAGGACTGGCTTCGTCGGGTTCAAAATCCACGGGTGGTGGTGGTGGCGGCGGTGACAGCGGCGGCGTCATTCCATTCGCGTCGGCCGATTCCTCGAATCCGTCGTCGTCGTACATATCCATGACATTGTCCTCCGTAGCATCCTACACACACGTCAAGAATGCAAAAATGTATAAAAGTCGGACCGGTACTGCCTCAAACTCGTCGCCGTAGTCGTCACTCGCGTCGCTGGTCTCCACTGGAGGCACCTCTTTCTCAAGCGACGGCTCGAGCGAAAATAGATCCTGTAAAATGGCGTCAGCAAGACACAAGCTGTGAGCGTGACGAGCACCTTCATTTTGGCAAACGCGCTTTCAAAGGGTGCTGGTGTCGATGTCTCGGCGAGCTTTTCTGCAGCAGCGTCTGCATACCGGAACGGTTCTAAAGCGCGCGTTAGTGCCGAAATGCGGGGGCGTCACCACTACGCCACCTGCAGGCGCCGACGTAACTGCGACATCAACAGTAAATGGCACCTCAACGCTGGCCTACACGCGCTTGAAATTCACACCGAGATATGATACCGTACCTTGTTGATAGGTTTCTTGGCGTACCCACCAACCTAACAAGGTCAGGACTAGAAATGCCAGAAACGATGGACCTACCTCGAAGTCTGCCGATTCCATTCCGAGCGAGTCGGAAGACTCATCAGACGAAGGCTCTTGCGTTGCTGGCTCGAGTTGTACTGCCGGAGGCTCTTCAGGCACAGAGGCAGCAGCAGCTGGCGCCTCGACAAACTACGAAATACGTCGCACGGAAATGTTCCATAGACTTTACGAATACCGGAGCCACCGCGTCAGCGAGTGCGCTTCCGTGCCGCTTGAGGATGTCCGCCATTCGTTCTTCAAGGCTCAACTTGCGTGACAGCGTGACTGGCTTGGTGCGCGCTTTGGGTTTCGGACGAGTGTCCTCGTCGCTCTCGCTCGTCGCTGCAGGACGCATCTCGAAGTTGTACGGGTCATCACTGCGAGCAGTTAAATGAGGCCTTATAAACTTACAAAGAGTGCGCAAGCACTTGCCTATCGTCGAGAGTAGGGCGCGACATCTCTATGCATCGCGTAAGCAGCCACTCGTCCAGATCGGAGCTAGGTACCCGCCGTGCTGGTTCGTCTCGATTGCTTTTTCTTCTTGGCCTTAGCGAAGGCTGCGTGCTCGTCGTCCGAGTCGCCTTCGAGGAACCTACAGCAACGTGCCACGTAAGATAAGAGGCCACTCCCGCCGTTGCCACGACCTTTCGAACTCATCGTCAGACGACATTGCGCTCGCCGTTGCGAAAATGAAAGGTGCACCTCTTCTGGAACGGTCAAATACGCACCCAAAATGGCACCGACGTAAGTGCTTACTTACATGTGAGAGAGACCCATTCCTCTATCAAGACCGAGCTACTTGGGGGCAACAACCGTGTTGGTGTCCGCCATGCCAGAGGTGGGCGAGGCGGTCCCCCCAGAGATGACGCCATGCGGTTGGGGCCAATCGAGTTGTGAGGTCGGTGAGACGTTGTTCGTTGATGCTGGTGTGCTTCGTGAGTGCGTCTGGTGCCTTCTTGTCGAGAGGGCGAGGTCTGGTATTGTACCACGACATAAGGCCGCAGCACCGCCGTTTCGGAGCTCGAGTAGTTGCTCGGATCATTTTGGCACGCCGAAGCCACATTCTTGATCTCGCGCGATGCTGTTGGTACTGAGCGAGATGTTGTTGAGGTGTGGGTGATGGCTCGATCCGTAGATGCACGTTTCGACATATACAGGTTGTCTTGGGGCCTTGGATGTGGATATGGACTTCCTTGCTTTGATGTCTTCTTGGTGCTTGAGAGTTTGATCCTTGTCGTTAAGAGACTTTGCGTCGTCGATTTCGAATGTACATGACTCGGGAGCTTGGGATGATGAGGGTCGAGGCATGCTCGCACCACAGCGAGTACGATTGGCCGCTTCTGCCGGGTGACGACGCGTGCACATCCAGCCGAACGAGGTCCGACTGCAAAGCTCGGGATGGCGAACATTGAACTCAAGATGCGGTTGGAGATCGGGAAGGGAGCCATCTTGGTCGAGCGCAAGGAAAAGGTGACAACCGAGCAAAAAATCGAGCTTCTTCTCTAGTCGAGCGCTACGAGGCGACCTTCGGCGAGCAGCGTAAGGCGCAGTACAGTGACTATTGCGACAAGCGCAAGAAGACGATCGGGTTCCATCCGCAGCGCGTGCGCGACCTTCTTCTTCCGACGCAAGTTCAAGATGTGGACGGGGGGGGATCTGGACAAGCTCCGTCAAATAACGGCGCTACTTGGTTGTTGTGATGGGCCGCTGAGTGAGCTCACTTGCGAGGTGCGCAGGGCCGCGCCGAGCTCGGGGAAGGTTGTCCATTCGCGCCAGATGTGTCTATATGCTGACCGCTGCTCGTATCTTGACCAAAGACGACAGCCAAGGCTGCCGCGCGTTTTTGTCGAGTGCTCGGTACATCCAGCGCAGGCGTGCTGTATTCGGTGTGTCTGCCCACGAAGCCGTGTGGGTCTTTCATGTTGACGTTTGTTGTGGCGGCGGCTGTGTCTAGGAGCGAGTTGCTACGTCCCGGACTGAGACGTGTCGGGACCCGGAGCCAGTGCACTGCTTGCGCCGCCAAAGTGACGCGATGTTGACACCATACACCGCTGGACAATGCCACAGAGAACGCCAAGTTGCCACACGAGTGTAGTGGTACTGATCGCCAGCACCTCGATGTTGACGGTTGAGGTGCTCAATGGTCCTGAAATTCGTTTCCCACTCTCACACCGGGAGATCAACGACCAAGCGTTCGCGGGTGTTCATGGAGGTGTCGACATCAGCATTGCATCGTCGTTGCCTTGCTAGCCTCATTTTCCACGTCATCAAGCTGAATGAACCGTGCCGAT